TCCCTGAGAGTTCGAGGCTGCCTGGGGTACATGTTGAGTTCAAGGCCAGCCTCAACTACAGAGCGAGACCCTGTTGCAAAAAAACAAAGCACACATATATATACACACACAAGAGGAAATAAGTGGGGCAGTTTTTAAATAATGGGGTTAAATCAAAGAAATGGTAATGTGTTAATCAGAAAAAAGGTAAAGTTGGGGAATCGGCTGGGACCTTAATTTTGGTAACATCTAGGCAGAAGCTAGAGCCCTTTGTGCAGGTTCAAGACAGGGAGGACAGAAGGGCGGCTCCTAAGCGGGCTGGGCTGGCAGGCTGGGCTGGCCTGCAGTGAACACAGCCCCTTCCACACCCAGATCAAGGGGACGGCGCGTTCCTGCCAGGGTGCTGTGCACCATTTTGTCATACATTCTGGAGACAGGCCAGGGCACAACTCCCACAAGAAAGGCAGCAATCACGCGGAATATGGAGATGTCCGAGCGCAAGGCGTAAGAGCTCTTAGCTCCTGCATTTTCACAACAGCCCTGCTGTGCCACTGGGAAATGATGTCACTGTCCATGGTTACCGAGCTGCCAGAAGATGGTACTTGCAACTGGGTGTGGCGAACACACCTGTGATCCTGGCTACTTGGTAGTCTGAGGCAGGATCACCAATTGGGGCCTGCCTGGGCAACTCAGTGGGACTGTCTCAAGGTAAGTATTTTTTTTTTGGTACCGGGGATAGAACTTGGGTCCTTGCGCTTGCGCAGCAGGTGGGAAAACCACTGAGCTAAATCCCCCGCCCTCTCAAGTTAAGTACTAAGAGGGCTGGGGCTGGGGTTGTGCACAGCTCAGTGGCAGAGCCCTCACCCAGCATGCAGAACATACCTGCAGGTGATACCTGGACACACACTACAGAGGAGTGAAAGTGGAGTTTACCTGAGACTACAATTAAGGGCGGTGTGTGGTCATGAATTAGCTGACTGCTCCATGGCACAGGCACTGGTCAACACTGTTTTACCTCTTCACAGTCTGTCACTGCAGCATTCACCAGAGCCTGTGGGCACCTACTGTGCTCTCTGCCAGGGGCTCTGCTGAGCAGGGGAGAGCCGACCTGTCCTCCCTCCAGACTGCAGCCCAGTGTGGAGCCACAGCCTCATCCTGGCTGAGTAGACTCAGGGACAGCGCACCAGGGGCAGGGCTGAGGGGCCCCGCGCGGGGAAGCCAGGTGCATTTCCCACCCCGAAGTGAAGTATGGTAGGAGAGAACATGGCAAGTGTGCCACATGCCAAGACACGAGGTGGGGAAATGGAGTCAGAAAAAAGTGGCCTTCCTTGTGAGACAAGGTTTGGCCTAGATAGGAGAAGCCCAACAGGGGCTGCCCGAGGGTGGAGGGTGCTCTGTGAGGGCGAGTCGCCTGTGGTGAGGGACTGTGAGCCAGTTGAGAGCTGGGGACAGCCTTGGGGAGGCAGAGCAGAGCTGGCCAGAAGGGGTGGACTGCAGGCAGGAGAGGAGGCCATCGGACACCCAGTGGACAGCACCGTCTAGCTGTCTTCTTCCACCCTGGGGGCAAGTCGCTTCGCTATCTGCTGCCTCCATTTACTCTCTCTCTCTCTCTCTCCTTCCCTCCCTCCCTTCCTCTTTTTGTTTTGAGGCAGACATGGGTCTTGTTCTATTGCCAGGTTGGCCTCAAATTCCTGGGCTCAAGCAATGCTCCTGCCTCAGCTTCTCAAGTAGGAGGGAGGGTGGTTATGCATGCCACCATTTGTCTAATTTGTAAAGTAACTGTAAAACTGACGGGGCTAATGAGATTATAAAATAAACATCAAAACTCACGGAGGATGTGCTAGCACATGATTTACTTAAATCACCTAAAATAAAAGGTGCCTCCCATACTTTACCGTGAACTGTCTTCAGGATAGCGCTGTCCTACGGCTTCTTGGAGTTGGACGTTAAGAAAAGACACATTCTGCCAGGCTTCCTTTTCTCTTATTTTATCAAAAATTGATGTGTAGAAGTCATACATGGTGTCTCCGCCTTCCATTAAGAAAAACTTCCTCATGGCCTGCAAGTACTCTACCAACCTGCGTGGAGAGAGGGAAGTGGCAGAACGCCTTGGCCCCCAAAGGCAGGAGTCTGGGTTGACGCGTCTGGTGCATCACCATCTCCAGCGAGGCAGGCTTACAGCCTACATTTATGAGGGTTAGAGACAGTAACACCTCTTAAAGGCTTTTCTTCCTCAGTAATAAAAAGTGTGTTTTCCTTTAATAACCTAAAAGAAATGTTATGTTCCTATAATATTATAGAAAACTGGCCAAAGTCACAGGAACAAATCAAACAAAACTTGACCTATATTTCACCATCTGCAGGGAATTTCCACTGATGACATTTGGGAATATTTAGTCCTAGTCTTTTTCGCTAAGCAATTAAAAAATTTTTAGTTTCTACTGTATTATATACATTACGTTTTAAGCTCTACGGACAGTTTACACAATTTAAAACTGAATCAACTTAATTTCTCTAAATGTTATGAAATTCATACATGGATACAGATATGCCATACTTTAAAGAACTTGTCATCTATTACCAAGTAATTTTATGTTTGTCATTCTGATAGCAAACTTTGTGATGGATATTCTTACACAAGTTTTTATTTTTTTTCTGTATTTTTTTAAAGATGGTCTTAGAGTGCCATCGCCTGCCTCACAAGCACAAGGTCCTGAGTTCAATCCCCGGTACCAAAAAAAA